ATCCTTCCCTAAGGAGCTGAGCAGTGAGCAGTTGATGGGCTTTGGGAACAGAACTGGGTTTAGATTTTAGATGAGTATTGACCCCACTGTGCGATCTTGAGCTAATTACTCAGTTTAATTCCTGTTTGTGAAACTGGAATTAGGACTACCTGCCTCATAGGACTGCTGTGGGAATGAAGAAGCTAATGAGCCTGCCTGGCAGTATGGCTGGGATAAATACAGATGAATTCAGTTCTTTTCCTTGTGATTGCCTGGAACTGGAGGATGTACTACCTGTGAAGGGTAGCCATCGCTGTGTGAGGCTAAGGCCATGGTGTGGTAATAAATGACACATAATGAACAATCGATTTCTTGTGTATTTATCATGGTGCTTAGAAGTAGTTTACCAGGACAGCAGACTTTGTTTTATAAAATGCGGTAAAGACAACTAAACGAAGTGAAGTATTAGCAGAGGGCAAGTCATTGTGAAAATATATCATAACCTTTTGAGATTTTGATATTGAGACAATCTGAACACTTTGGTGACTGGTTTTATGATGAGCCCTTACTGGGCTGACTGAAGGCAAATTTTGTGTTGAACGCTGTCTCATTCCCTAACCTTTTGTGCCATCTTTTCTCTCTGTTTCTGCCTTCCCCTTTCCTACCTCCCCAGCACAGCTCTATTAACATTTACTACTGGTTCTGTTTTCTTTCTTTAATTGGCACATCCAAATAGTACAAAGGGGGGCTGGGAAGGTGGCTCAGTGGTAGAGTGCTTGCCTTGTGTGCATGAAGCCCTGGGTTCGATTAGTCAGCACCACATAAGCAGAAAAAGCCGGAACTCAAGTGGTAGAGTACTAGCCTTGAGCTGAAGAGAAGGAGAGCACCCAGGCCCAGAGTTCAGGCCCTATGACTGATCAAAAAAAAAAAAAAAATAGTACAAAGGGGTAGGGTTTCATTGTAATATGCTCACATATGCATATAATATGTTTTGATCAAATTCACTCCCTCTTCTACTGTTTCTTACCCCCCCCCCATTTTAAGACAGTTGCTAGTAGGTTTCATTATTAGATTTTCACACACATACACACTCACACACACAGAGTACTGTTGTATTTACCCCTATTCATCACTCTCTTTTTCCCCTCATCCCTTTACCATCCTACCCCTTTGATTCTGTTTTCTCAGTCAAGTTGCCATCCTTGTCCTTTGTGTATAAATATTTATTGAAGAGAAAAAGCATACCCAGATTGAGAATCCCTAACCCTCAAATCCAAAACCTGAAATTCACAACTTTTTAAAGGTTGACATGAGGCTCATTGACTCTTCCTCTTCTTAGATGCAAACATTCTAAGTGTGTATATGGATGAGATTAACATGAGAATCAGTAGATCCAGGAAAGCAGATTCCTGTCCTCAGTAAAGTCAAGCATTATACTTGGTGGCCTGCATTGAACTGAAAGGCTGGGCAAGAAAGTCCATTCTCTCTGTATTACAGGTTTTTAGTCAAGACATAGATGATTCAGATATGGGCTTGAACTGCAACTTATACCATAGCCTTTCCTGGTTCTCAGGCCTTAGGACTGAGGTTAAAATGATATCCTAGCCTGTCCTTGATATCCTGGGTCTCCAGTTTGCTCCCTGCAGATCTTGGGACTTTTATCCTCCATAACTGTGATGGATAATTCCTTATAATGTACACCCTCCCCCACACACAATTACTTTTGTTTCTCTGGAAAACCCAGGCTAATAAATATACTCAGAGACATAAATAGTTTCTCAGGGACCCAGGACTAGTAAATACTGGAGTTGGGATCCGAATATAAGTCTGATGACTGCCAATTCAATCCTTTTATTTCATTATGACACAACACTCTCCTGGTTTCAAAAATTCTATTCCCAAGTTTGCTAATTCTACCTTTTAGTTCTCCTTCCAAAGTTAGTACTTGCCTCCAAGAAAGTGAATAGCTTATTAGACTCAGGAAGTAAGTCTGTGGATCTTGGATTACCCTTTTACTTTTTAGCCCAAAGAGTTCCATCTTTTATACGTATAAATGAATATTTTAAGGTACAGGTTGTGCTGGATGCTGGTGGCTCACGCCTGTAATCATAGCTCCTCAGGAAGGTGAGATCTGAGGATTGCGGTCCAAAGCAATCATGGGCAGAAAAGTCCTTGTGAGACTCTTATCTCCAGTCAACCACTCAAAACCCATAAGTGGAGCTGTGGCCCAAAGTGGTAGTGTTAGCCTTGAGCACAAAGAGGCTCTGAGTTCAAGCCCCAGAACTGGCAACAACAACAAAACAACAACAAACAGATTGCTGCCACTGAACCACGTGCTCAACTTTTCACTTACATTTTTGTTAGAGTAATATTAATGCCATCAATTCTAAAAGAATACAACTGAGCAGGTAATCAACTGTTTAACATCTCTGTGTTTTGTTGGAAGCTTTAACATTTAGAGACCTCATTTAGAAAACTTTCACCAACCCATAGCAATAGAGATAGAGACAGTAATGCAAACAGGTACTGAAGTCAGCTCTAACCTGAAGTCCCACTTGACTTACTGGATAACCTCCGCCAAGCCATGATGAGCCCACAGGTTCCTTATCTGCAGAATCTGCATCATGAATGTCACTACCTTTCAATGGCACTCTATGAGGTAATGTAAGTAATGTGGTGGGCAGAATAATGAGTGCATACATAATAAGCATATAACTGGTAGTGACTCTGACAGGTATGGCTAGTTCCAAATGATAACCCCCTTTTCTTTCAAATTGGCAGAATTTTCATTAAAAAAAGCGGGGGGGGGGGAGAGGGAGGGGCTAGAATTGAACTGGCTAGCTAAAAGACTACAATTCCCAGAACTCTATGCAGCTGGATGGGACCCTTCTAAATCCTGATCAATAAGATACATGTGAAAGGCAATGTAAGACTTCCATTATGTCTCCTTAATAGACGAGGGACTTTCTTTTCTTCCCTTCCTCCATTCTGTTTCCAAGAAGCAGAGGTAATGGCTGGACTCTAGCAAATACAGTATCTGGTATTACAACAGCAGATACTGCACCCTGGATTAGGAGAAGCCCCATGGCTTTATGTAACGTCTGCATCAACTCCAGGCTGCCAATCTCTGGACACCTCTCATGAGTAGGGGGATATAAATCTTCTGTCTTGATGTGAGTGCTTCTGTTACTTGAGGCCAAATTAATCTTAACAGTTTTTGTTGCTCCTGGTGGTAGTCAAAATGTCCAAATGAAGTTTTGAACCCATTTTGAGGGTTCATTTTTGCAAATAAACGGCAAAATAGGACATAAATACAGAAAAGGAGCTGCAGGTCTTCAAAGCTATTCATCCTGTCTAGGTTAGTCTTGATTGTCATCTTGATTGGATTGAGAAGTGCCTGGTAGATTAAGAAGGCACAGGGGCTGGGAAGGTGGCTCAGTGGTAGAGCACTTGCCTTGCATGCATGAGGCCCTGGGTTCAATTCCTCAGCACCACATAAGAAAAAAGCCGGAAGTGCCACTGTGGCTCAAGTGGTAGAGCGCTAGCCTTGAGCTGAAGAGCTGAGGGACAGTGCCCAGGCCCAGAGTTCAGGCCCCACAACCAGACCCGCCCACCCCCCCAAAAAAGAAATTAACACACAGAAATAACCAGTTCCTAAGTACAGATGTAGTAGATATGTTATATTAAAATACAAATTATATACACATTAAAAAACCCTTATAGGAAGTGGCGCTGTGGCACAAGTGGTAGAGCGCTAGCCTTGAGCTGAAGAGCTGAGGGGCAGTGCCCAGGCCCAGAGTTCAAGCCCCACTACCAACAAAAAACAACAACAACAACAAAAAATACCCTTATAAACTTTATAAAGTACATTTTATAAAGCCATCACTCATCTTATAAGTCTAATTTAGTTTTCTTTAATTAGTAAGTATCAATGGGGCATAAAATGTAATTTCTCAAATTATATTTTGCACCCATGGATTTTCAGGAATAAATGAAATTTATTTTAAAAAAATCAAGAAAAATATTGTAATAATAAGTTTCAGGTATAATTTGCCTACAGAGAAAAATTCAAATCATCTTGTGCCATGAAAACATAAATACTTGTCATTAGCACAAAGTAATATAACTCATTTCTCATTGTCATTTTATTCTCTTAAAAATAAAACTGCTGAAAAACTCCCCAAAGCAATTTATATTTAAAAATATGACCAAATAAAAACTAAAATTTATGTGATATATCACTAAATTCAACTGGCAGTATTTCTAGTATTAGATTATTTAGATAAAGTAGTTTCAAGTGATTTAGCTTATTATATACAGTACTCTAAATAAAATCAATCAAACTTGTGTGTCAAATAAGGCATATTAATGCATGAAAGGTAATACAAATATTTACACACAAAAAAACAATTCATTGAATTGAAATAAGGAACAAGTAAAGCAACTCTAGTATGCACATCTAGACCTGGATATATGTATAGATCCCATATAAATCAACCAGTTCTTTAACTCAGGAGGCTGAGAACTGAGGATTGTGATTTTAAGCCGTCCAGGGTAGGAAAGCCTGTGAAATTCTTAATTACCAAGAAAGCCAGAAGTGGAACTGTGGCTCAAGTGGTAAGGCGTGAGTTTTGAGCACAAAAGCTGTGGAACAGTGTCCAGGTCCTGAGTTTAAGCCCAAGGACCAGTGCACACATGTACATGTGTACATGCATGCACACATACAAATACACACACAAATACCGTTTATGATTAAGGCATCTGTATTTTCTTAAAGAATGTTAACTGTATATGTGTATGCTTACTAGACACATACTTGTGCAAGCACATGTGTGCATGCACACACACAAACACACACACACAAACACACATGAACACAGCTTGGTCTCACTATTTAAACCAGATGAGCATGTAGCAGCTCTATAACTCTAGCTGAGAGCAAGTTCTCAAATGAGCATTGCTTCTACAAACCAGAAATCCAAACCAAGAACCCTTACAAAGAATAAAGACCATGTGCTTACCGTGTAAAGCTCATTAAGAACCTTCATTAAATCCTCATGAAGTTGGAATGCAATCTCTTTGCTCTGTAATTAAGAAGAAATTAAGGGAGAACATTTAAAAACATAATAGAAAATTGTTACTAAATTATTTGTATCTTAAAAGTCTACTGACTGAAAATAAAAGGATATGAAGAACATAAAAGAAAGTCTTGCTGGAAGTGCGCTGTGGCTCAAGTCGTAGAGCGCTAACCTTGAGCACAAAGAAGGGAAAGTGCCCAGGACCTGACTTCATGCCCCAGGACCAGCACCACCCCCCTCCAAAAAAGAAAACAATCTAGTCCCTGATGTAACTAAACATTATCACATGAATGGCCCTTCCTAATACCAAGTGTTGTGCTGATGGTCTCTAAGAGCTGGACATAAACAAATCGTTAGAGAGCTTGGGCGGCCCCCAAGAGCCACATCAGACTTTAAAAAGAAAACATAGTATCATGCTTGCAGAGAAGTTGTGCTACAGGACCAAAGTCATTAAGATGAATTTGAGCTGGGCATGAAGGTACACACCTATAATCCCAGCATCCAGGAGAATCATGAGTTCAGGCCAGTTGAGATACAGAGATATACATTAAAAAATGAAGACAAAAAAGAGAAGATATCTGCATTATTCTAATCTGTTAGTAAAAACCAAGCAAACAAAAAGACATTATTTAAAACCTGAGACTGGTTGCTCACATCTGTAATCCTAACTACTCAAGAGGCTTAGGTCTGGTGGATCATGGTTGGAAGCCAGCCCAAGCAGAAATATCCATGAGATTACATCTCCAAAATAAACACCACTATGGGTGCTAGACTGGAGATGTGGCTCAAGTGGTAGAGCACAAGTGGAGCAAGCAAGAAACTCTAAGTCCAGCACACAAGTATTCAAAAAACTAATCTCTCATTCTGAGAGTTTGCTAGAGGAAAATTCAAGTGTTATTTTCAGAAAGATCTGTAAGATATTTTCAAGGAAATCACATCTAAGCAACTTTATCTTTCTATTTTGCATTTATTATATAGTTGGCTATACAGAACAGAAAAAATGTGTAGCAGAGCATTAACTACAGGTAAAGCAGTAATGAAAGGATCCATGGGTTCATTTATGTATCTTCTTCTTGGCAGTCCAATGATTCTGAGGGCCAACACTGTATCTTTACCTGCTCTGCCTGGGCAAATGGAGACCTATCAGGAGACATTCAGTCTCCCTAGCACTGGCCTTGTGTGGGTACATAGGAAACTTCAACTACTTTCTAAATGACTTCAACAGCAATCTGAAATGTTGTGGCCTGTCACAGAAGAAGCAGTCACTGTATTTGCATTTGTATTTGTATCTGTTGGCCATTATTGGAGGGTAAAGAGAAGGCTTCAAGAAAACACTATTTAAGCTGGGCACGAGTTAGGATTACAAATCCTAACTACTCAGCAGGCTGAGAGCTGAGGATTGAGGTTCAAAGCCAGCCTGGGCAGGAAAGCCCATGAGACTCTTATTTCCAATTAACCACCAGAAAACTGGAAGTGGCGCTGTGGCTCACATGATAGAGTGCTAGCTTTGAGCTGAAGGGACAGTGCCCAGGCCCAGAATTCAAGCCCCATGACCGACAAAAAAAAAAAAAAGGAAAGAAGGAAGGAAGGAAGGGAGGGAGGGAGGGAGGAAGGGAGGGAGAAAGAAAGAAAGAAAGAAAGAAAGAAAGAAAGAAAGAAAGAAAGAAAGAAA